CTCTTCTGCCCTCTGCATTTCCGAGTGGGACGTCGCTCAAATTCTGGCAACGGTGGATTTATAAATGTTAGTAATATTTTCCCTTTTCTTTTATTACCATCAAATTTGTCAACATTATATGTGGCATGTATAAATGTCACCTTCCACATAATCGTACTATAAATGGATACTATCATAATGTCGTGTTTACATTCACAAAATCTGTAGTAAAAGAAAATTGGTCTAATGTCAAAGATATTATGTACAAGGAGTATTTTGAATGAGGAAGTCGTATTTCTTGGTAGATATACACGTAGAGCATGCTCCTTCCGTCAGTGATGCTCGGATAAATGTTCAAAATCAAGAAAATGAACAAGGTGATCAAAGGAATAGCACAGGTATGTTACATCTCAGAACTCAAACTAAGATTTGATATGTTAAAGTCCTTTTCATGTTAAGTTCATGTTAGATCAGTGATTTCGTAAATTTTTGAACAAGATGATCCACATTACATCTCACTCAAACCAAAGTTTCGTAGTAGCATGCTCCTTCCGTTAGTGATGCTCGGATAAATGTTCAAAATCAAGAAAATGAACAAGATGATCAAAGGAATAGCACAGGTATGTTACATCTCAGAACCCAAACTAAGATTTGATATGTTAAAGTCCTTTTCATAAGTTCTGTTAATTTTTCGTATTTTTCTCCAATTATTCATCCAAAGTCAGTCGCCGTATACTCTCTCCCTCTGTCAACCTTGAAGGACTTGTCAGCAAAATCAAGTCCATTTGTTTCATTTTTATAGGTAAGTGATTTTCACACTCTTTTAAACATCTTACATTCCCTTATTTAATCATGGTCGTTGATTTTGTTGAATTTATTCAATTTGATGACCATGAAGTAGGGAATGCAAACTATAAAGGGTGTGTGAAAATCACTTCTTTTTTATTGATTTATTGGAGTCAAATTTATATGAAGATTCATTCATTTGAATTTGGGACCAAATTTTTTATTGGGATCAAAACCTTCGAGGATTTATACGGACTGGATTAGAAATACAGAACCCAATTGGATTTGGAAATTGCAGTTGGAATGGGCATAGGCAGGCTGCTGCAAGCTTCCAAATCATATGGTGCTGTAGGGTTTCATATAAAATTTCCCTACAATAAATAAGAATTTTATTTTATTTTTCTTTGCTTATGCCATATATGACCAAATCAGCATATGAAGAATTTTGGCAGCAAAATTTAATTTTAAATTTTTTTTCGCAGTCTTCGGTTTATTACAAGGACTTCCATCGAGGCTTTCAGAGTCTTTGGGTATGTGGGCATTAAGTTTTTTTATTTTTATAGAAACTGGTAAACACACAAGTAACTTCTCTCACACCTCCGTTGAAATTATGCATGTTGATTTTGTTTGATTTATCAAGTTTAGAAGAAATTTTTCAATGTGCTTGAAATACGGTGACGTGTCATTATATAAGTGGTGAGATACTTGTGTTAAAAAATTAACTAACTTGAAAAATAAAACTTCTCTTCACTTATATAATAACGCTTGGTGTACCGTCCATATTCCGGGCACAAAATAAAATTTCCCCAAATTTAGAGGATTATGTGAGAAACTTAAAATTGTGTGAAAATCAACTCTCAGTTTTCATTTGTTTAAATTATCAATTTATTTATTAATGGACTCGTAACAATATGGTTGTGAGTTGTACTATTGTTTTGAATGTCAATGTAGGAATCAACCGCATTCGTGATCTGAAATTGCACCATGTTCGGTCACTTGAAATTTTGAACGGCACTTGTGAGGAGATAAAACATTTAAATAATGAAGAATTGAAGAGATATAAACTATATGAAACAGTATTCAATGCTGTTGAAAATGGGATTGTTGAGATCGTTATTTCTTTATGCAAAGCCAAACCAGAGTTATTGGTCAGAAAAAGACCAAGGAAAGGACCAGACGAAAAGTTCACATTTCCAAGGTCCATAACAAGAACGTCCATAAATCAAGAGGCCACATTTGAGGAGTCCATATTTCATTACGCTGTTGAATGCCGTCAAGAAAAAGTTTATAGCCTTATATACGGGGCTGGTGAAAGAAATTATCTTGCGACTATGAATAATAGTCGGGTGGAAAAAATGCTATATCATGCTGGGAAGTTATCTCCATTGGCAAAGGAAAAGCTTGATTGTATTCCGGGTGCAGCCTTGCAAATGCAGAGAGAAAGGCAATGGTACAAGGTTAGAATTATTTTATATTATTTTTGTAGGCTTATTTATATCTATGGCCTAACTCCGCCTGTGTAAGTTTATCTCACATTGCCGGTCCCAAGCCCGGATAAAGGAGGAGGGGGAGGGCGTCAGGTAGTCGACAGCCGGCACTCCTCGGTTACGTCGAATCCTTATGAAAATGAATCCAGAACGAAATCGCGCAATGGCGTTCTAGGATTCATATAGCCGACCCCACTTAGTGGGAAAAGGCTTTGTTGTTGTTGTATTTATATCTATGGCCTCTCAAAATCAATCCAAGGTACTCAACCTCACGAAATTCAAATGGAAACTCTGGTTCATGTCCCTCGTTACCCAGAATTTTAGATTGAAACTTTATTAATAAATAATTTGATCGAAGAACAAAATACTGAATATTTGTGTTAATTAAGAAATTTAATTATGAAAATTAATAATTCTTTGTAAAATCATGGAAGTTTTATTTTTAAATTTATTATTATTATTATTATTTTGGAGAGAGGGGGAGATGTTTGAAACTATTATAATAATTTAGCGAAGGGGGAAGTTTTGAACCCAGGATGCTAGGACAACTTGGAAAGGTCAACACCAAATAAGGATTTATAATTTTTTTTCCTCAAATTTGAATTGTGTGAATTCTCAGGAAAAAAAATAATTTTAAATATGGTTACGTGTTAAACATTGATACATTTTACGTATAATACAGTGATACCTTTTTTTATGAAAGAATTGGTGCATTATAAATATATGAATGGGTTTAAATAAAAGACTAAAAAAATTTAGTACAATCAAGAGTTTAAAAATATTGGTACAAAAAGAAATTAAATGTACGGAGTACAAATTAAAACTAAAAAAAAATGGTATTTTAAAAATGGTTGCAAATAAAGAAATAGGTTCAAATTAAAAAGAAAAATATATGATACAAAATTTAACAAAAAAATATAAATATACCAAATCAAACCTTTCTAACACTAAATAAATGTATTTGAAAATGATTAAATAATTTTTAATTGTAAAATTTAAATATGCTAATATGTAAATATTTAATTAAAAATGATGTGGATATAAAAGCCAAAGGGTCATAAAAAATTGGAAGAAAACAAATATTTTTAATCGATGAAATATCAAAAATGAAGAATGTGAACCTAATTTCTATTTTTTTATTTATGAGATCGTTATATGGTTTTAGTTGTATTGTTAATTTCATCTTGTACTTAATGATAATTATGCAATAAGGTAAAAAAAGAAATCACCTTTAAAGTTTAAGTCTAAAGAGATAATATATGAGTTCAAATAAAATTTCCAAAAAAGAATAAAAGCTAAACATGAAATGAATAGTTTACAAAACAGTTGCTTATAATGGCCAAATTTCAATAAGATGCACATATATCCTTCATTTTTTTTTCCTTTAAAATTACTGAAAGAATGCGATCACCTCATATCACTACGATGTATTAGTTTTTGTTCAATGAAATGCAGGAGGTACAGAGCATGGTTACAGCCCCGGGAGCCCCACCTTTTACAGAATATGGTTTGAATGCCGTTAGATTCTTTACCGAGGACCACAAGGAATTGCATGAGAAAGGAGAAAAGTGGATGAAAGACACAGCAAGTTCTTATATCATTGTCAGTGCCCTCATTATTACAATCATGTTTGCTGCAGCATTCACAGTTCCGGGTGGCAACAATCAAGAAACAGGGTTTCCCATATTCTTAAATGAAAAGTTATTTATGGTTTTTGTAGTTTTAGATGCAATTTCGCTCTTTTCTTCTGTAACTTCAGCGTTGATGTTTCTGTGCATCCTTACATCGCGTTATGCTCAAGATGATTTTCTCAAATCCTTACCCACAAAGATGATAATAGGACTTTCCACACTCTTCATCTCCGTTGCAACCATGATGGTTGCCTTCTCTTCTGCCATATTCCTCATGCTTCGTGACAAATCATCGATTAGTACTCCAATAATTTTCCTTGCTAGTGTTCCCGTCATTTTATTTGTTTGGATGCAATTTCCCCTTCTCCTTGAGATTTTTGTGTCTACCTATGGCGGAGGAATATTCGATAGGAAAGTCAAACGTTGGATATAAATTCTTGATGGTGTATGCAATATGTTGTGTAACTGAAGTAATGTAATGTTTGTCAGTTCTAAGAAAGCTTGTATGCAGCGTACACACTATGTGTGTGTTTGGTTTCTATAATAAAATCCCCATTGTTCAATTTTTTTATATCTTTATATTTGTTCTCCAGTCTCCATAAGATATAATTTAACTGGACAAATTAATATTTGTTGTAGGCATAATTGATATTTGTTCCTATAATTTCACTTCTAAGATAGGAAAGTCAAACGCTGGATATAAATTATTGATGGTGTATGCGATATATTGTGTAACTGTAGTAATATAATATTTGTCACATCTAAAAAAACTTGTATGCATTGTACACACTATGCAAGTGTTTGGCTCCTATAATTAAAAACCCCATTGTCAATGATGAGTCAAATTTATATTATATGTTTTACCCTATTTTTCGTATGTTTTGATAATTATTTTGGTGAAGTTTTGATACTTTGATATAATTTTTTTTAACAAACAATATTTATCTACGGTAAGGGGTGGGGGATTGGGCTAAGCCTCACAATGGCTATCAATAATGTGGTTCAAATTCACTTTTAACGAAAATCAAACCTAAGACTTCTCACTTACAAGTAAAGAGGAATATCACTAAGCAATAATACTAAGTGGCGATACTTTGATATAATTTGACCGCAAAACTTGAAGGAAGTTTGATGTTCCACCATAAATCTAATTGGCAACACGGGGAATAACCTTATTACTTATAAATGTGGGAAATTATATATTATAAAATGAAATATTGTAATATATAATTTTAATAATTGAATGAAAAATAGTGTTAACCAATTTCTTAGAAAGGTTATGTTGTTTAGGTGTATTCTCTTGATAAGTGATGAATACTTATAGATGAAAAGTTACATCTCCTTAACAAGAAGTACTTGGGTTCTACATAAACTCATGAAACCATTATCATTAAGATATAGAAAATTTGAGTTAATTTTTACTCTTGAGAAATAGGGTTTCCCCACTTTGTTTCTCTCATGCTTCGTGTGTTAAATTCTGAGTTGTGTCTTGAGAGTACGAAATATATAAAGTTTGTCAGAGTCCGAAGATTGAAATGATTTGATTTCGGATTATAGATTGTTGAATCCTGGGAGATGGACGCCTACCGAACTACAAGCACAAGAGTAGAGGCGAAATTCTATCTTTAGGACATTGCATTTATGCAAACCTCAATATCCACGTTTGTCAGTTTTTCTAACTCTATCTCTAGTTGTTTATATTAATCTTGTATACTATTGATGTTGTTATCTTCTTTATGATTACTTCATTAGAATTCTTGTGTTATTTTTATATTTTCTAATATTGCTCCAACAATCTAAAGATGGAAATTTTCTTTATGTAATAATTAGAAAAATATGCATTTAAGAAATAATTATATTGAGAAAGTAGGAAAGAATGATTTGAATATATGTTATTGAAACTGCCATTTAAAATTTAGACTTTGAAACGCATGCATATTGTTGTGAAGATATTGTTCTTGAATTTCATTAAGAACGAAATGGGCAGTTTGTTAAGGGATTGTTTATTTAATGTTTTTGCCATTTAACGTTATTGTTGTTGGTTCAATACTCTAAAAATTAGACACTGAGAATGGCGATCAGTTCTTGTGTATTGTGATTGGTTTTGCCAATTTTAAATCTCGCCAACCATTGTGCCTGTTAAATGGTTTCTCAACGATGTTGTTATGGAATGATTCCTCTAAGAGAATCAAATTGATATGCAGTATTACGAATCCCATTATTTAACATGGAAGATGGTAGCTTCATGATCCAGACAAATCTTGTCTTGATAGGGAAGATGCAAACCATTGCATATGTTTTAACGAAGGCATATCTGGGCTTGATATATCAGGCTGATGCTTGGTTGGTGTTTAAATTTGTCAAACAAATTTTCTTGAAAAGGCATTCAGTGTTTTTAACCAACAGTTAGCTACATGATTGGGGAGGTATGTGCTGGGTTGAAACCAAACGTGACTCTTCATTTGAAAAGATTTATATGTTCAAACAAATATGTCAAGTAATCACTAAAAGATGCATATCGCTGCATCATTGGAATTTATCGAAGCCAGGATTAGGCATAAGTGCTTTATGTCCCAGGCTGAAGTATGGTCGGTTTCTGCATACACTGAAAGAGGCGTCGATTCAGGGACTATATACTGCTCCCTCTTGGTTACAGATACCAAACAATATGAGAATGTCTCCAAGTTTTCTCAAACGGTACGAACACAAGGATAAGGAAACGAATTGGTGAACCATTCGGTCACTGGTTACGGACATAGATGACATGGTCATTAGTTTGGTTCTTTTCAGACTATAACCATATCAGTTATAGTGTTAGTGCCGTTTGGGATATAGAAAAGCTGGAGATTCTGGTTTCGTGAAAGAAACGGTGGTAACGATTTTCATCATGTGGTTAATTGCTGCAATTAATATGAGATCAGTTTAAAGGTCATGTTCAGTGTATGTCTCCTTTATGAGAAGAAATGTGTCGGTTAAGGCCAAGTGAACGCCAAAGTGGTGTACTGGATTCATACCAGTTTATGAAATGGATCTTTTTTCTAGAAAGGAGATGTGTTACCGAAGTAGAAAAGTTTGGTATTGAAATATGTCAAATTCCCTTTGATTTTTCTACCAAAGGGAACGTAATGGTTGCTTGATTCTAATTTGAAATGACCATGAATTTCTATATATTTATGAAGAAATATCATGAATGTGCAGTTTGAAAAGAGCTGTGAAAACACGTGTAGAAAACCACATAAAAAGGTGCTGATGTGATTATTTTTACAAGCCGTTGCAACTCTTTGCAAAATTGTGTTATTAGTCTTATACAGAAGCAGTTTCAGGCTAATAATTGGCACTAGACACTAGCGTTGCTAGTAATTACTAATTAGAGTGGTGTTAGAATTGCAAGGAAAGTGAGACTAATACAAGCACTAGCAAAAGAAGACGATCACTTTTATGATAAGTATCATAAAAGGAATCTTGCGGTGCCCATGTTAGTCATGGATGAAACCAAAGGAAATTCCTTTGAGAGGAATTATACACTAGAAGTGTGGGGGTATTTGGAAAAAGAAAAGACTAGACACTCAATGTGAGAGGACTAATACATTGTAAGTGTGGGGGTCTTTGGGAAAAAAAAAGACTAGACACTAAAATGTGGGATATTTGGAAAAATGTATTATACCTGATGATGTTTATTAAGTAAGCATATGATTGATAATGCATGTATTATGATGGCTTGTCAAATAAGGCAAAGAACAATGTCTAAATTAGGAAGAGTAATTTGCATTTAAAAGAGATAATAAGCAATATCTCTTATTATGGATAACTTGTTTAAGGTATGGCAAGGTTAGAGACCTTCTTACAAATACCTTAAATGTGGGGGAATTTACCCAAGCGCTTAGTGTTAGCAAATTACTTAGTAATTCAGTCCTCATATAATTTTGAGGACTTGACATTTCAAACAAAGTCAAACAACTACTCTTATATGAAATATAATTTCATAAGATGGATTGTGCACACCATTAAAGATAGTAACCTAGTAGTGGATCCAATTATTAATGGACTGACTAGAGAGTAAGTTGATCATCGAAGGGAATGAGGCTAAAGCCAACATAACTAATGAATCAGCCGGGCGAAAACCTAACTTAGTTGATTGGAGATCCCATGGTCTAAGTTCAATAGGCAAACTGGTTGGGCATGGTCTAAAATTAAATCGAATTGACAATTGTAGTCAATTATATATATCAAACAAATCAACGGGTTTGACAACAATTAACGTTCTCATAGGGGTGTTAGTTGAACTGTGATTTCTAATTCCTCGTTAGATTAAATTTTAATTACAAATTCGGACATTTGTAAAATGACTTTGATAATAATTGGAATACGTGTTGAAGTTCCACTGTGCGTTTTTTTGTCGATGAGGTCCTTGATTCTCACTGATTTTGGTTTGATGGTGCGGATGGTTGAGGATTTGATATTGAGTTCCTCCAAGTTGTAGGTTTTGGAACTTCGAAGCTGCACTGAACTTGACGATCGTTGGAAGATCTGTAGCAAAAGCATGGAAAGGATAGCCATTGAACCTGAGAGTTACGATTACGATCGTGGAATCAACCGCAGGGTTTTGGTTGTTGTTTGCCCAAACGTTTCTTCGTTCAGTTTCGATGCCGGTTGGTTTGTCAAGTTTGTGGTGAAGGATGGTTCGTCCTCATACGAGATTCACGCTGGCTGTTACCGAGCTCCGAAAGAGTGGTTTAAGGTAATTTTTTTTATTTGTGTTCTAATAAAGTATTATTTTATTGATTTGATTATTTCTTTAGCAATGTAGCAATAATGCCAAAGATTTGAGCCGTAAGTAGCAGCTTGGTTGGTCTTCTGATTACATAGATTTTTTGGTGTTTTCGGACTTGAAATATAGCCGTGTATTTCGAATGAGAATGCATCTTATTATAAAGCTCTGTGGTTTATACACTGAATTTCTAGGAATTGAAGGTTTAATTTTGGTGTTTTTGAGACTCGTAGATATGGCGGTGTAATCGTGAGCGAGACTGTGTCTTCTAGGAATCGAAAGAGACGTTAACAGGAGATAAAGCAAGGCGGTGTAATTTTGTCATTGAATTGGCCATGCGTGGTTATTCTTCCAAATATTTGGGAACTGAATAGTGTTTGTGGTTTCGCTTCCGCGCAGATGCAGGGGGACGTATCGGAACATTTTTCTCATCGGCATTACCTTTCTTAGATGCTTACCTTTCTTAGATGATCTTCGAGCCTCCTAGTTTTTCTTGCCTACTTCATAGCTAGAATTTATAAAGAAAATTAAAGAGAAAACAATTCCGGCTTCGTATTAGAGAAGCATTTTTGTGGAAGCATATGCAAGGAATCAAAGGAATAGCATAACTGGAAACTTGAAAGGAATTTATTAAGCTTAATCATGCGTGACGTAGAAATTTTGTCAGAAAGTGAAATATTCATGTATGTATAAACAACAACAATCAAGCCTCCTTTCATTGAGTGAGGTCGGCTGTATAAATCTTAATCTGTCACACTGGTACAAGTATAACAGAATCAATTAGCAGACTTCTCAGCTTTGTA